ATCTGACTGTGGGAGCATGCCTATTCTCTTGGGTGTAGTGGCCAAACTTTGAAGGTGGGTCCATCATCAATTGATTTTTAATTTGCCCCCACCCCCGGAAAGATTTCTGCGAATGCCCATGTGCAAGTTGTTAAATGTCTACACATTTATACTGCATGTTTTCCTTTAAACAAAATAACCATGACCACATTGTGACATGATGTGTGAACTTGAGCAATTCCTGTAACAAAAGACTGTAGAAGCAGTGCCGTAAAGCAAACTCAATTCAACATTCTCCTGAGTAACACCACACATTTACTACTCTAGCTAGAAGTGAAAATTTGATTTAACCCTCTCACTACAGATAGGTAAAAGTGCTCATGTTGCAACCTTTTGCAGTTACATTCAAAATTCAATTAAACTACTTTATTATCAATATACGTGAATAAACTTGGTGTTAAAATGTAGATGACAAATCAAATTTTAATATAAGTTTTAAGTTCTTAATTTTATAAAGGAAATATTTTACAAAATCCTCAATCTCCCCTAGTATTGGAATTATGACATCTGTTCACTAGGTTTTCCCTCTTCTTTTGTTCATTTACCATCCTTCTGAGAAGTACGAAATTCAATGTAAGTTATTCATTATGATATAGATATTATTAAGGCAAACTCAATTTTTTTTTTTATGGCCTTCAATCTTATTTGTTTATGGATTCAAACTAGAAAATCAGACCACTTGCCATGCCCACCTGTCACTTCCTCTCTTTCATGAATAGCCAATAATTCTATCTCACATTTTATATCATTTATAACCAATAGAAAAGCCAAGTTTTAATCTATCGAATGACACATAATGCTACATTGTTTCCACTACATAATATTGACAATTTCGTCTTCAGTTTGAAAGTTTATCTCGCGGTGTTCAGATCAAGCAGCAAAGGAAATTAATCTAAGCCCCTCTTGTCCTAGTAGAAAGCCAGTTAAATTATAATAGTTATAGCACATTGTTTGCTTTGTGTTATTATTCTGTGTTCTTAGGTGCATTATTTAATTAAATAAAAATTATTTAGCATACTAGTGCAATCATTATAAAAAAGTAGGCTTATAATTCATTGGCAAGTGAAAGCAAAAAGACAAGAGGTCAATGGTAAGTACTACATTTCTTGTTTTTCATGTATATTCTTTATTTATTGTTATAAAAGTAACTAAAATGTTAAAATTAGAAACATATTAGGTTAGGTAAAATTATGAAAAAAATAAAATAAAATTATTCACGAAATACACCTGTGAGCAGCTCATGAATTACGTCATTCAATACAGTAACATAAGCAACGCATTCGCCGAATGATTTACAACTCATGCGGCAGGATTATCAATTAGACACAGTTCAAAGAGCAATAAAACAATAAAATTAAGTAAAAATAGATGGAGACTATTACAAGTCTTAAGCTATTTAGGATAAACAATTGTAGTCTTCTGTTATAATCTGCAGTCATTTTAGAAAGAAAAAGGAGTAATTTAGATTTATTTTGGACTTTTTGTTTATTTATGATGGTTACGTGGTGGGTCAAATAGACCTACTCCATACAGATAAAATATAAAGTTTTATTAAAAACATTTGATATTTATTCAGAAGGTTTTAAAGATTATCCAAATGAAATTTGAAAATTTTCAAATGAAGAACAGTATTTCTAATCTTAACATGAAAATTGCTTTGCACTGAAGCAGTCAACACTCTGATTCCATTTGTTCATGAACAAATCTTTAGTAAAAATACTTAACTTAAAAATCTGATTTTTTTGTGTTCAAGAGACTTATAATATTTACTGAAAGCTTGCCAAATTTTGTGAAGATACAATAAAATATTAAGAATTATAGTATGGAAACTCTGATGATTACTTTGTGGTTATAGATCAGTCACATTGGCCAATCCTGTATGGAAAGAGTTAAACAAGTGACAAAAATAATCCAGAAGACATAATATTTTGAAATCAAATCACGTTTCTATTTCAAAAACCAAAACATAATTCATTCCTGTATATTTTGCAAAATTTATTGGAAACCTTGATTTAAACAAAGCTACAAGTATGACAATTTGAAAAGCATTTGCTTTTTCAGATGCTCTCATGCTTTCAACTAAAGTTCTGAATGTCTTTGACACAATGCAAGTATACATCAATTTTCCACAGTTCTCCACTCTCCCATCTTACAAATGACTTAATACACTTTTATCAGGAATACGTATACAAGCTCTGCTTTCGTGAAATAATCCAGGTTTCTTAGCTGTACTTGTGAGAGAAACCGCACATCTCTCAGTTGAGGGAAGGTGGGTGGGAATGTCTTTCAAAATTAAGTACTAGTTTGACATTAATTTTAATTATAAAAATGTAAAATTCAAAACCTTACATCTGAAGTAAAAAGCCAGAGTACCCACAATGAGATGGAGAAGGCCAACAAAGACTCATAAGGACCATTAAAAAACAAAGTTTGGGTTATTATGCAGGAAGGTAGTAACCTAGACCAGAACAATTTAATTTTTTTATCAAAAAGAGTTGAAGTGAACCCAGAAACAGAATAGATTCAATAGACTGTACATATGGAAAATGAGTGGAGTGGACCAGTCTCATAACAGAATGGATCAAATGAGGATATAAAGTGTATCCTTCTCAGCAAGATACTTCCTGCCTTCATCACTTTCAAAAAAATGTATGTATTTAACTGTGGAACCATCACATTTTCAGGTGTGATCACAGGTAGTGGTGTAACAAGCGGGCAAGGGTCATATTGCAATGCATTGTCTTATACCTGTAATGGAGGATTTTTCGAGTAGATTGGACATCTGAGACTAAAGGTCGCTAATCCACAACCGACAAGGTCAGCCAAGTCAATAAGCACCCAAGAAGAATGAAACTGACCTGATGATGAGCTTCACAACTTGAGAACATGCAATGGGAACACCAAATAGATAAACCATATTGCCCCGGGTATCCTTTACAGTGCATGACACAAGGTTCACAGGTGAAAGGCCATGTCATCTCGTTTCTTGACTCACATTCAAAATTTTATTGAACTACTATTTCATGAATTTATGTCAATAAGTTTGGT